CGTTAAACATTCTTCGTTTAATCATTGATCTAGTCGCCATTGATTGGCGTAACTTTTATCGTCGCAACCGCAGTCCATTCTGTAAGACAATTTATACAGAATTCATTTTACGTGTCTATCGCTGAAGGGCAAATACTTAACATAGGCCTACTGTCCACTAAGGCATTTCGTCATAGACACGTCAGTGTAGGGTACAATATGATAATTAGGCTACACTTGAATTTCTATTCACTCGAGCATATTGGAAGCGTATAGAAAGCGTACAGAAAGCTTGATTTTCCTCATTCGCAAAGATGTGTGTTTGGTAGCTCCGCTAATCGAAAAACAAGACACTAAAATGCGATGTTGTGTTAGCCATGTACAAACATGGCTATTTTTTCTATTTTTTCTATTTTTTTTATATTTCATGGGTAAATTTTCAAAAAGCGTCGAAAGTATATGCGTTTGGTTAATAGAGACTTCTGGTCTTGTTTTAAATTATACTGAGATATGATTTATGCGCAAAAATTTTGTAACGGTATTTAAATAATCCAGCCTCTTGGTAATGTACGTATAACCCATATTTGGATGACATGGTAGTCAGAGTGTTCAAACAAGTAGACAAATTATTCGATCGACGATCACATAATCACATAATTTTAGAGGCCAGTGCAATAATGGGTAATCTAACATTTGAAAAAAGTGAATAAATGCATTGTCTGGGCTGCACTCTGTAGTTTAGCAAGTACGTTAACATTATGTTTTGTGCTCTCTTTTTATTTAATTCCAAAGCAAGAACAGTTAAACATTCTTATAATTTCAATCATATTTTCTAATGCTAGTATTTTATTGAATAGCACACTATCGCACTGACCCCGTCAATTGCATCCGAATGCATTTCTCAAGAACTTCGATTTAACAAAATAAAACTTCATCCAAAACTATTACATTTCAACATTCAATTAACATCCGAACTTTTCATTAATATTCAACAATACCGTTTATTTCCTTATTTCTTTCATTCTCTCGGACAACTGTTCGACGAGCTTCCGATTCGCATTCGCGTTTTCCATTTCCATTCCATCAATTCCATCGAGTTTCGACGTTGAAAGAAACAATCGGTCGAAATGAAACAAATATTAAAAAACCGACCGGAACAACGTGTCCGTGCATCACGCGGAGAACTCTGTTCAACCTGGACGAATCGTATCGACCCCCGCTATCGATAGCGAGCACAATTTACGTTCTGCAGTTACGTTATTAGTTCTGTATAGGGACGACTACGATCGCCTCGAATTGCCGGCCATAAAACGAACTTCTGCTATAACGTGACATAACGTCACAAACCGTCGAACAGAACTGGCCTGTCATCGTTCAGCAAACGGTGCATACAGTGCTCCTGATTACCGCAGAAGAATAATTTCGCGAGCGGGACGATTCAACGTGATCGTTGTGTTCTTTCCAGTATTGGAATACTTTTTAATACTTTAACCTCGAATGGATCCAAAACGGTAAACAAGTTTCCTCGTCGTGAACTGGCGGAATGCCTGGCACAATTAACCCCAAGAACATTCGCCACGAAAGATGAGAACTAATAATTCCATTTATATCGGGTGCACTAGAGACAGTGATGTGGGACGTTCTTTATTATTATTGACACGTTACGGCCGAATCGTGAGAACTGTGTTTCCTATTTCAACGTTTGAGACAAATCACGAAGATTTTGTGTTTTTGTGTTGTGAAATTCTCGCTAAAATTATTAACACCGATTTTATGTTTCTAAGGACAATGTTGTTTCTAATCACCCCAGGAATCACCCCTTTCAAGGACTTACACCTGTTTTGGGACACCCTGTATAGTAGTTATCTCATCATGTACCATCCGTGATACACATGGCACTGCTATTAATTTGAACTTTTTGAAAAACAAAATATTTAACCATGGATAAGTAATAATACTTATAGTGAACACAAATACTTGGATATTATATAGTAATACTCAGCAACAGAAATCTATATCAATAGTAGAATTCAGGGTACGATTAGTTATTTAATTATGCCTCTGTCAGGATGAAAAGAACAATTCATCTCTCGAAACTACGAGAAACTCTAGAAAACGTCATGAAATTAAAAAGCAAGAGGACAAAGTGTCGGCAGTTATAAAACGTTGTACTTCTTGCTATAAACAACATGTAAAAAAATTCTGAACTGAAGTAGGGAGACAGAAAACTATAAGCAAACTTATGAATAATTTTTCCTTTTTTTACCAACCAGCAAAACATACATATACGCCGAATCCTTTACTTACGCCAATACCTTGTTCTTTACCTTTATACTTATTCTGCACATTTCATAAGGTTAAGTGTTACTACATACAATAATGATTGTGAAATAGACTGCTACTAAAAAAATTACATATTTGTAGTGTTCTTTTGTAACATATACAATTTTCGTGAAGATAAACTTTAGTGTACAATGTTTGCCATCAATCGCTACACTCAAACAAATTTTTGTCTTTCGAATTGTAACTGACAGACAAAGTTGTGTCAGATTATAAACGTCAAAGAAATTTCATACAAATTAATATTTTAAAATTCAGGCAGGTTGACTACTAGCATAAGGTCATACATCTGACATCGCGATCCGCATCTCAGAGCATCGTATCATAAACAGAATTATTCCGTTCCCGCGGTGTGCATGAAAAATTACTTGCATATCGCGAAAGTGTCCATCAAGAGCGTCTAGTTCGTGTAAAAAATTGGGTCACGACGAAAGGTTACGGTAAATATTAAACGTCCCTATCTTTCTGTCTTTCGCAGAGTTTCCGGGAAGTTTGTTACAAGCCGTAATCCGTTTTCCCTTTTACGGGCAAGTACGTCTAACGACGAAGGATGACGTCGTTTGAGCCGGCAAAGCCCTCATATCACGCGACGGTTTTAAGCAGAAAATTAGCTTTCTTAACGATTCCCCGTTTAACAAAGGTCCGAGTACATGCGTGTCGGGACCCCACGAGACCCTTCGAATGAAGTAATTACGCTGGTACCATTAAGGCAGGTTTACGAAGACCCGCGCAGGTGCGTGAAATTCGTGAAAAAGAACGCGCGCGTAAAATAAATAAACAGCATTGTTGGTCATGGACCAACGCACTCGCAATCCGTAGCGGGTACTGGCAACAAAATCTGAAGTGGAAAATGAAAAATAATGAAACAACACGGCAGTGTGAAAGAAGCAGGGGAAACGGAATTATCCAACGAAAGGCTTTTGTACTGTTTGTTTTCATTCGAAGAACGACACTCGTCGTCAATTATAACGAACGAGCGCGCGCACTTCAAACCGCCTGCATTGTAGATGCACATCTGTTAATACAGAAAAAAGATCTACTATTTCGTAACGCTCCTTTTATTCGGAAATATACTTTGATCCCATCAGCGTTCGAGCTTCAAAACTGTTTTCGTGCAACTTCGTACGAATTCATAGTGGAATTTAGAAGCGACCCGGCTTGAATATTGGTTTCGAAATGAGTCGGTGTATTTGTGTCGGCGAAATAATGATTTCGAGGTAATATAGCGAGGGCAGAATGCTTGAATGTTGATTTATTGGGACATTTCGTAGATCGTTGTATTTTGTGGATACGGTGAATTTTGTTTAGAAGAGATATAGGAATGAATCGTAAATAATTTATCTCATAGACATAGAAAATTCACTAATCACGATCTAAATACTAATAATAATAGAAACATTCCAATTGAATAACAAATGTCGAGTTTAAGGGGGTCTTGCCACTGTGAAGCCCTGAAAAATTGCCATTTTTTCGGAATTCTTTTTCAGTGAACAAAATGTTCAACATAAATGAAATGTTGTCTATTTATTAATACACTTATTGAGAGTATAAAAACTTTTGTTTGAAACTTCTAATGGATGTTTTTATATACATATACAGGATGTCTCAGCTAACTTGATCACCTCGAATAATGACTTGACGTAGAACTTCGGTAGCCACTGACGTACTGAATAACGTGCACTTTAGACTGATTGATCAAATAGTTTTTTGCAATCACCTATGCCAGGACTACATAAGTTTTTCAAGGCACTCACCCCCGTGCGATATATATACGTATATAAAATACTATTCAAAATTTCAAATAAATTTTCTTATACTCTGAAAAAGCGTATTAATAAAGAGATAACATTTCATTTATGTTGAACGTTTCGGTCACTGAAAAAAATTCCCCAAAAATGATCATTTTTCAGTGCTCCACATTGGCAAGACCCTTTAATTCTAAAATATTCTAGATCGATATAGATACAAGAAATTACAATAATAGTTTTAAATGATGAAACATAATAAACACAGATACGTTAAATATAATCTCTAATGGTCATTGTCGATTGTTAAGAGTAATCGTTATGTTAGAACTCTATTAGAAATTAATTACTTTAATATTAGAGCAACACACGTATCTGAACGATCCGTTAAAGGGTACGTTGAATCGAACATTAAACACGTTCATAAACAACCCATAGATTATTGGGAAAATATAACTGTAACTTTTGTGTGTTTCTTGTATATTGCCGTTCGTAAAAGTGTATCCTGTCTTCGTATTTGCACATAATTATTTGTATATAAATTAAGCAATACTTACTAAATAATTGAAACTTGCATGATTACATATTGAATGAGAAAAATATTATTTAAGAACATTTATTTCTTAAGATTTTATCACAATACACCGTGAGATACTTAATATCTATAATATTACAAACAGCAATTCGCACGAAGTCCACTAAAGAAGGGTAATTTCGGAACAAATTTATGACATAAACCGTTTTTTAAAGTAGGGAAGTCCAATCTTGAGAAAAATTGATTTGAACTAGTTTCATCCACAGACTGATGTTTTCTGTTTATCGTTTATGATATTAAAATCAAGACATTACAATATAATAGAATTCCGACTGCTAAATGAACTTGTATAATAGAATAAACTCTGATACTTTAAATATTTCGGAGACAAAATGGGCTTCCACAAATTCCAAAAAAAAAAAAACGACTCGTGCGTGTACGAAGCCTCATCGATCCTCAGCGAAAACCTAGCTCCGACGCCGGCTATTGATTAACCTTGGTCCGTGTGGCCTTTCTTGCGAGCTTTAGCACGTTTTCGGGCGATTTTACGACACAACCACAAATCGTAGATCCAGAAATAAGGCCAGCCTCCTTCCTGGCCCGATTCCAAAATCCTTTATCAGAGATCGTAATGCAGGTACAAACGACGACACTCCCGGAACATTCTGTCCCCCTGTTCTTTTCCCGTGGGCTAACAATTTGGCGGGTTATCGGGCAAACGGTCTTTGATTTCCTCTAATATCTCGATAATACGTGTCTGATAAGCCCTCATGCTGCGGCACTGGCTGAGGACAAGTTCCGTCCTCCGATCGCCGTACAGCACATACTGCAGCTCCTCGGTCGAGCCTACGAAGTATTGTTCGACCGCATCCTTCGTGAGCAACATGATTTGCATATTGGCGATGCAGTAAGTCAACGCTAGATCCCTGATCTCTTCGCAAGATTCAACGAATTCAGAACGTGGCAGACACTCCTCGACATCGAGGCCTTCGGATTTAAGCTCCGACGTCATCGTATCCCAATAAATATCAACGAAAGTATCATAAAGTCTGTTTCTAATAGCACGATCGGTGTTCAGGTAAAGGGAAAAAATGAAATCCAACGCCGGCGGACTGTATCGCAGGAACTGATAGTCGATCAGATAGCAACCGGTAGGCCTGCCCGTGGAGTCTCGTCTGAACATTATATTGTTCACCCATATATCCCGATGGCATATCAGGTTTCGGAACTTCCTAGACGATTCCAGCAACCTGGGCAACTTCACTATCCATCTGGCGATTCGATCCTTCACCGATGTTCGCTGATCGTCGCTCAGACCCTCCATAAGATCGACCATCGCGGACGCGCCTTTGATACCGGACAAGAGGTATTTTCGCGCCATTGTGTCGTTCTCGATGAAGGCCACTTCGACCAGCAGGTGTCCGTAAAGATCGTGGATCGTCTGACCGCTAGCACGACGGAGCTTCTCGTCGAAGATCAGGGACCTCGAGTGAAACGTCGAAAGCATTTTCACCATCCAAACGCAATGTTCCTCGTCGAGCGGCACAAACTTATCAGGCGTAATATAACCGGACTCCTTTGCATCCTCCATGACCATGATCGTGTTATTCTTACCGAGATAATAATCGGGTAACCACTTCGGTCCACTCCCTGTTCCCATTCGGGGCACTAATTCGCTATAGACCGCCATCTCCTTGTTGAACGTGTCGTACCGCACGAGAAAATCATATTGCGGACTGGTGCTTGGCGGCGGTGTTTTCGCGAAGAATTTCAGTTCCCTCTTCGATTTCTCCTCGCCGATTCTCACCGTCACGCTGAGAGTGTAGTACGAACCTAAGTATCCATTCGTCTCCCCCAAACTATCCAAACTCCAGCGCAAAATTCGAAAGTTATTCGAACCTCGGTGCCTTTCGACGATCCGATTGATGTCGAAATCGGTCAGAACCACCGCTGGTTCATCGCCAACGGGACAGATCTGGGACTTCGAGTCGGTCAAACGGACGCAACCTGGATCGGCGCTGATCGTCGCCATGCTGAACGATCCCCGTTGCACATTTGTCCCCGATGAAATACTGAAATTTATATATAACGATTCGCCGGAGAACTGTCTACCCGATGGATCGTAAATAAGCATTCCGCGATGTTTTTGAGGCGGCAATCGAGAATGATTCTTCGACAAACACCCCGGAGCTCTTCCGCTATCGGTGCCCAGACGGGACGGGAAGTTAACGATTCAATAGTACATCGGCTTCGACAAACATCCCGGTAGCGGGAATTTATACTTCCCGTAAATCTGTCGGATATACTTTTGTAGATGTGACGAGGAAACGAGCCACGTGATTTATGACGTTTCACGGGTGAAACGAGACCGCGGTATCACGTGCGTGCGGAGAAAATTTACTGGCGAACGAACTACGGGCACTGTTTGACGTTAGAAAAATGCGGCGGGAACGAGAGAGTGGTTCCGGGAAGCTTTTGTGGCCGAAAACTACGTCGGCCGGAAACCCGGGCCAGATATTCGGACCCAACTTTCCCTGACGTCGATTGCTTGATTTAGAACGGCCACTTCGTTTCCCTGGGAAAACGGTTCCCAAGTTTTTTAACGGCACACGGGTCACGGAGCTTGCGTAATCACGGTTGCATACATTTTCCACGATATAATCCCTCGACGTGCGAGTACAAACTCCGTTCGGTAAATGATGTGATCGGAATGACATTATCGCCTCGCGTCGCTATATTTATCGTCGCGAGTCTTATATGATAATGCCGTGTCTCTGTGACGGTATTTAATTGTGTGTCTCGTTTATATGTACATGGGGAAAAATTCGAAGCAACTTTTTAATATGATAGCAAGATGATGTTTCGGTATTTTTGTTTTTGTTTGACATTATTCGTGGTGAAATCATTTTTGTAGGTGAAATCATGGGCGTAGGTAGAGGGGTAGGAGGGGGACAGGGGGCGCATGCCACCCCCATGGACGGAAAAATAGTGGCTTTTACACTACTATAGAAGAACAAAATTGGATTGTGCCCCCCTTTTTTCTTTTTATTTGGGGGGTGGGGGAAATGTATTTACGCATCTCTGGGACCGAAGTACTCAGGGTATGTGGGACTCACCGGTTTTACCCACTAAAACCCCCACCCCAATGACCTCTGGCACAGCCACGTGTTACGCCATAGAGCTAATATAATTAACATTTCCACAATTTTACAATTGATTTTATTTCTTAATAACATGCTAAAAATATAATACTAAACCGCAAGTTAACCCTTTGCACTCGACTGTCGCCTCTGAAGCGACAAAATGTATGGAAATTTAGAAAATCCGAGTGCAAAGGGTTAATATCGTTTTTAGTTTTTTCACGATTCGTGTCTGAATAATTTCTAAACAATAACAACAGAACATTCGTGATTCAAACTAAACTGTTTTCGAAATCGAATCCCGGTTCACGTTTTCCCAGGCACGAGCCAAAACGAGATAAAAGAAACGCGGTAGATTTCATGAAATTCTCGTTAAACTATTAATTAAGAGAAGGCCACGTACGTCCGGTGATTTCCAACGATCAAATACGATACTTTAATAAAATCCAATTTGCCGGTGATCGATCGGCCGGGTGTTTCACGGCGCGGAACGTGGCCGCGTGTAACTGTAAGTCAAGGAACGGAGGTGAAGAGCGTTAAAGTCCGCGGGGTGCTATAAAACAATTCTAAAGAAACTTCAAGGCCCTTCGTAACCGGCGAAATTTATTTCCGCTCGGCAAGAACGGCATCTAACTTCTTGGGAAGCAACGTATTAATGAGGTCACACGCTACATACCTCCTTCGGCTCCGTTACTTCACGGTACCAAAGGTAATTCGATTAACTGCGTGCCCGGGGTTTGCGAAGGTTCGCGAACTTGCTAATATTGCTGGACGATATAGTTATTGCCCGTCGAGTTTTCATTCTGAAATCCTATCATGATCGGTGGAACTTATTAAATAACCTAAAAAAGTTTGTACCATTTCCGGTAGAGTTCACTGCAGCGACTTATTGTACAACACTTATTCTGACTTGCAATTCTAATGATTTTCTGATTCGATTGCATTATTGCCCGTCGAGTTTTCGTTCTGGATCCTATCATGATCGGTGGAACTTATTAAATAACCTAAAAAAGTTTATCATTTCCGGTAGAGTTCACTGCAGCGACTTATTGTACAACACTTATTCTGACTTGCAATTCTAATGATTTTCTGATTCGATTGCAAATGCAATAGACGTGTTTTATAGAAAAAACGCGTTCATTCATTTCCGATGAACTGAACGAAATGTAAATATAGGTGAGAACCATATTGAAAATTGTAATGGAACTGTCATTTATAATATTTATGCGATGAGTGCACATTTCGAACGGAATATTACTATTTTACCGTTAAAGTAATAACGATTTTGCAATATTCAATATTTATTTCCTGCCAACACTAAAAGTTAGTACTGTAGAATTTGTTAGTTTCAGATTAACAGATTTTTTAAAGCCAAGAACCAGAGCATTTTCATCAAGATATTGTTTAAACATATTAATACTTCTTTTTCCGTATGGAATACGGGGAAAGTAGTAATTGAAAATAGAAATACGTTAAAAGTATTATAGAAGTATAAACCAATAGTTACGCGATTGCTGGACCTAAATATTCTTTAAATTTAATCGATGAATTAATTGCTTTTAATATTTCCAACTCTTTATTTTGTAAATTACTTTTTGTAGAACCTTTATTCGGATATAGTGAGATATTAAAATACATCGCTCTAAACTTGTACAGTTAACTGTAGTTTATTGGAGAAATGAAAAATTAAATATGAGATTAAGGAACATTACGATAAAATGAGTAAAGAAAAACTTAATTACTCTAATTTCCTTCTTATATAAAGCGTTTAGAAATATACTTAGTTTTCATAATGACTACTATTCTTTAAAAAGAGATTCCTTTTAAAATATTTTAATTTTAAATATTCCTTTATAATCTGTTCATACCTAATACCAGTTTTATTTTAACAATATTCGTAGCTGCAATATTTCTCTCCTGTACCTTAATTTACTTTTCACACAAAAGCAACTGACATTAAGGTATAATATACGCTTGAAAATCAATTTTTCCAAAGACTAGAAAATTTCCATAATGAATCCCATTGATATGTTACCGAATCTTGAAAATATATACGTCAAAACGAAATGAACGGAACGAAAATAAACCTGAGTCTTTTATTATTCGTATAAAAACTCTGTCCAAGACTTCATTGCCCACGATTCAGCCCGAAGTACCGACTTTCCTGGGGGAGGGAGTTCATCCAACTGTCATTATGTAACAAATTCTCGTGACGAGACGGCTTTTTAATTGCTCGTTTTGTCACGTAGCAGCAACAGGCCACCGCGACTGGCAGTTACTCCAGGCTGAGCACTCCTTTTTTCCGCGTGGCGGAGAATGGACCGGAACAGAATTCTGATTAATTGACGTGGTTTTAATTAAACTTTTAATTAACGAGACCAAAAGAAACAACGAATCCGGGGCACAAGGTGTTACCGGCCGTGACCGCGGACGATTAATTATCGACAATAGAAAAGTTTTGCGCAATAAGACGGACACTGGAAGGGTGGGATGGGAGATGGTGAATTTATGCTCATAAATTTGCACAAAATCGCCGGTGATCACCAGACAGTCTCTTGTCCTGCGATCTTCACTAACCATTTTCAGTCTACAACTCCAGCATTTGTGAAAAGAACAAATGGAAAAATGTATGTTAAGAAACATAAACTGCAGAAAAATTTTCTGTGACTCATGGGAAATGAGTAAATGTGTTCGAACATTTTATTTTATGTATAATAAACGGAGGTTTCGATAGAATTAATTGTCCTGGTTTCAGTCATTTTTCGGGTAAATGTTCGAGAATTGTTCATAAAAAGAGGACAAAGTGTATTGAAATAGAGGACAGAATTTATACATGATGAAAGGAATTGCGGTTTGCAGGATTAACTACACACGATGAATGAACAGACGTTTATTGTATGAAAATACTGAAATAAAAATGGAATATTGAAAATATGCTATAAGTTATACAGGGTGGGGCAATAACTATGTCCACTTTGAATATTTCCGTTATTTGTAATAATATGGAAAAGAAAAGTTATCAGTTTGATAAATTTTCAATTAAAAGTTTTCCTGAAACTTAACATTTGATACTTAACATTCAACCGTACATTTTAACCAAAAAGTGTGAAGATTGGGTTTATTTTATAATCGTAGCATGATTTTAAAGACTGACATCAAAAAGGAGAATTTTCGGCATATTTTGCTGTCCTACTTCGAGAAAGGAAGTAAGCGGCGTAAAAATAAAAAAAAGTGGAGTTAAAGTTAAAATGAAGGAACCGAAATTTTTGTTGCATAATCTAAGAATCCAGAAAATAATTTTAAAGAAGTAACTGTACACAAATATTTTTTCTAGCCACACTGTGTGCATACATCATAAACTTATACTGCTACTATACATATTTTGTTTCAAACACGATTTCAAGAAAGGGAACGTCAAATAAAATAAATAACGGGAATGGTAAATATTGTTGAAAGATTAACTGAAATCCACGACGAAAATCTGCGCACTTGAAATACACGTATATGCACGTTATTTATTTACTTGTCGTGTGTGCGTAACTTATAATAAACTTTGATTCCATCCAGGCAACCAACGATCGCGGTCCAAGAAGATTTCCGCTTTGAAGTGCTCAAAATACGTTCAAATATTCATAATACGTTTAAAACGGCAAAGCTTTTGATCAATACTGTGCCTGGTATACCCTCCTGCCACGCTTTGTTTAAATATGAATGGGAAACGGAAAACACCAGTACATGCATGACTTCGATTAATTAAAACTGTTGATATATTTCTATAATTTTTGTTTAACTTATATACCATACAACCAAGAAATTATTATCCATTAAACGAGAGGTGTAGTGTAGTAGACTACACAATGGGAAGGAATGTAGGAGAATTTTATGGGTAAATTGTACAGAA